GACTTTAGTGCAAATCACAATTTGGCCATAACGAACACCTTGTTCGAACATAAGAGTGTCCATAAGTGCACATGGCACCAGGACGCTCTAGGCCGTAGGTCGATGATCGATTTTATAATCTCATCACCAGACCTGCAACCATATGTTCTGTACACTCGGGTAAAGATATGAGCTAAGCTGTCAACTGATCACCACCTGGTGGTGAGTTGGATCAGGTGGCGGGGAAGGATGCTGGACAGACCCGGTGAACCTAAATGCGTAGTGAGGGTGTGCTGGGAATGTCTAGCAGAGGCCCCAGTCCGCGAGATCTTCAACGCACACCTCCGGCAGAGCTTCAACAGCATTCCGAGGGAGACTGGGGACATTGAGTCCGAATGGACCATGTTCAGCATCTCTATTGCCGAAACTGCTGCATTGAGCTTTGAATCTTTTTTACACACATACAAATCTTTTTACACATACAAATCCTGATTGACAAGTACAAAACTGATTTACAAGTACAAAATATTTATGACCACATTTTGAGCCCATAGTTCTCCTGACTGAAGTTTGGCCCGTGTATAGCATCTTGCTATGCGACTGCATTTGTCCCTAACCACCAGAATCCCTCACGTTAACTTTTATCGAGTGGAAAAAAAGTTAGCATTCATCCTCCAGCTTCACTGTGCTAATGTTATGCTAACATAGCTGTGTCGCTAGCAATCACGTAGCACAACATTATATACCAGGTAGTCCAACCTCAGTAACCCTGCAAACGCCACTGCTGTTTAGTTTTCTGTCTTCATTTATTTTGGAAGTGGTAGCAGCGCTGTACGTTTTAATTAGTTTCAAAATCTCTCAGTCAGAACATGGTATGTCATGTTTAGGTGGAAACTAGCGAGCTAACTTCCTGTTAACTTCTAACTCTGTTAAATTGAATAAATTCTGTTTTCATGGATGCATGAATGTTAAACTTAATTGTTACACCTGGTAAAGAAGCAACGCTGATGATTTCATTAAAGATGAAAGAATTTAGACCGTTTTTAACTCTCAGTGTTCGTTTGACGATGGGACCTGAAGAGGATGGAGTTTTGGACCCAGATTACTCCGCAAAACTCCTCACTACGGCAGCCGTAATGCTCTGACAATCCATCAAGAATACAGTGTTGCCAACTTAGCGACTTTTCATACCCCCTTAACAACTTTTTTTCTAAAAAGCGACTAGCGACAAATCTGGCGACTTTTTCTGGTATTACTGAAGACTTATTTATGATAACTTTTTGACGTGAAAATGCGTATCGCTCTTACTCTCAACAGGCAGCAGTGCTGCCTTGGGCACCTCACCCGTGCCAAAGCGCTCACAGGCGGATGATAGTCCACGATGTTATTTTTCTCTCCAACAACATAGGTTACAATTACATTAGCATGACCAATTATGCAAATTAGGCGATGACGTCATTTGGTGACTTCTAGCGACTTTTAGGACAGCCAATAGCGATTTTCCTTACTGAGGAGTTAGCAACACTGCAAGAATATATTGTGATATATATTGTTACCGCACATGCTTCAAATTATACAGTGATATGGATTTTAGGCCATATCACCCAGCCCTAGATGGCATTAAATTTAGTAATAATAATCGTGATATGAAAAATAGCGTTTATAATGGTTTTCAATGGGGCACAAATCGGCCACTAGGAACACTAGAGGATGTGTTTCTGTAGCTTAGCCACTGAAGTTAATTTAAGGAACTCAGACTGAAATTTTAAAATAAAATACAAAAAAAAAAAACTTTTGGAAAATTTGGCTATATTCCATTCAACACAGTGAAAATGGCTTGAAATTAAAAAACGCAGAGGCCACAAAATGGTCCCAAGACCTCTTTTAACGGAGCTATGTGCGGTGATGCTAGCATTAGCCATGTTAGCATGTTACCTACAACAGATGGTCAGACTGAGTAAAATGGCACACAGTCAGAGGTTGAGCTCTCCGTATCACTTAAATTACACAATTGAAAGTATATGTGTATTGTTTGTGTATTTATACACAAGCACTCATATATATTCAAATAATTAAAAAAAATTCATTTACCTGTTTCTACCACACACCAAATCCGGTCGTTGGTACTTCCTGGCTTGTGTAGCCACTAGGTAACAAAAGCTCAACACTGCGCTTTGCATCCTGGAGCACTTCTGTTGTCTTTTGTACGTGTTTTGGAGTTTGACGTGCTTCGGGGTTTGTACGTGCTATGGAGTTTGTACGTGTTTTGGAGTTTGTACATGTTTTGTTTCCCGCTCTGTTCCTGTGCTACTGCGAGTTCAACTACCGCCCCTCCCCCCTCTTCCCAGCGCAAAGCACAACGCTCGCATACAGAGTGAAATGGGAAAAAAGTGCGAGAGAGAGGGTGAGAGAAAGAAAGGAAAAAAAAAACAAAACAACACGGCTCCAAATAAGGAGCCGGCTCGCGTCGTTCACGTCAAAGACCCGGCTCTAAGAGCCATTTTGTTCGCGACCGACACATCACTATGAACATCACAACAAACGTATTTGTGTCAAAGTAACTGAGCATAAAACACAGAAAAATGTGTGTTTTTTTTCCTGGCCTGGCTTTTTATAGCAGATAACCTTAAAAATATTCTGCATTAGAACAAAAACTGAAGAAAACCATGAATCAACATCTGAACCTTACCTGATGCTGCTGAAGTGAAGCAGAGCAAAGTTACAGAGGTTTTATTAGAGACACTGCTTAGAGTTTTGCAATTTGGCATTATTTTAAAAAGTTTAGATTTCTTCGGTATGGAACAGCAGTTATGAGGCTTTATTGTTGGAGGTCATTAACAATAAAACAACAACAACAGCCGACGGCCCTGAACACAACATAGACTCATGCGTATTGCGTAATGAGCAAATGAATAATGCAAGAAACAGAAATTTTTAGATGGGAAACTGTTCTTAATGTACACTGAGAGAGAGAGAGCATGTTTGTGTACGTGCTGTCGGGTGAGAAAGCCGACATCTAACAGTTTCTGATGTGTCGGATCCGCGCTTTGTGTTTACGTCTTTGTGTGGAATCTGTTTGCCTGCTCTCATTTACTGTTTGGTGGTTGTTGAAATAGTTTTGTGAGTTTTAGCCTGAGATCCTGGCGTTTTTGACAAAATACATTTATATTTAATAAATCGATCGGAAAATTGATTATTGAAACCCACCTCTACTTGGCGCCACTGTTGTGCAGCTGAAGCCAAAGGCAAGATATGCGTCATCATACACAGGCAAAAATGTTTTACAGTAAAATTTTATTCAATTTGAGTAAAATTTACTCAGTGAAGTGTGTATTTTCTCACCCTTGGCTTGGAAGGAAGTTGCTTTGGAAGCATATTTGGCAATGCTTAATTTTCTGCTTTGCATTTGTGTGGGAACCCCGTTAAAAACCTATACATTATGCTAGTGGTGTGCAAGCATTATTTTTTTATATATATATTTTTTTATTCATACTGTGCCCCACTGGCTTAGACTATGACCTTTTATTTTTGTAACTTAAAAACACTAAATATATTTATTGTTATGAGGTTCTTGTTTGTCTGTTCTTTTACTCAAAAAACAAAGAAACAAAGAAAAAAGAAACCAAACAAACATATAAAAGGAAGACTTACCACAGATAAAGACCGCAGTCTCCGACACAGTGACCCACACTGTCGCTGTCAAAATCAAACGAGTCGCTGAGCTGAGCAGGAAACAAAAACTCAGACAAGTAATAACAAGTCAGTGCAAGCCAGATATTCCAGTCTGATTAGTTCATCAACGTTCATTGTTGCACATTCCTTCATCTATTCATCAGATAAACCCTGAGCATAATGAAAACAGGGATGGTTTAACTTGATTGCATATTGCATCAGATCAGTACTGATCATGTGTAAACCAAACAGGAGCTCAAAATTGTTTCATCTGTTTCTTATTACCTTCAACAAGGAGCTCATATTTTTGGTAGCATTTGCATTTCATTCTGTCTGGGAACACAAGAGCTCTAAAGGTTTTGAATATATTCTGATAAAACTCTGATAAAGACAGTATTTGGTCCCAGTGTAAATGGAGTAAAATTTACTCTTATGGCAGATTTAAACTTTTATTCAGTAAAAGGACTAGATGTTACAATCCCTGATAATGCATTGCTTTAAATGGAGAAAATCTTGAGGGGTAATTGATCCTTAATTGCTTCTGTTGAGAATAGATTTCTTAATATACATCAGAGTTAAAGAGAATATAGTTTGTGATTGCTTGCAACATTATAATATTGCAGTTAATGGGTATACAAAATAGAAAACAGGCCTGGATTGAGAACAATGAACTGGGGTGCAGGGCAGGAGGACAATCAACCCCCACCCTCAGGGCAGGAAGCAAAAGTTACTGAGGGTGAGGGGCAGACAACGGCAAACGGACACTACCTTAAAAGGAGATGGGGGTCAGGGTGTCAGCACCCGTGGGGGTGTTTACTGTAGGGGGGAGGAGACCAGAGGTTATAACTGTAACTGTTGTGTGGAGTTCTTTAGATAAGCCTTTAGCATAGGACTACATAGGAATGCAGTCTGCTGATCTCCAGATGCATCTGTAAGTATAATGGGTAATAAAAGGATTGTGTAAAACATGGAAACATCTCAGCGTGATCTCTACCAGGACCAAAAGAATTGCAGAAACCGGCGTTGTCTCAACACTTCCCACTCCAGGATTTTCATATCCTTCACAATTGGATCAAGTATCTTAGAGAAGCCATATGTTTGGGATGTTGAACTTCTTGGCAACTGTGAACATAATAAAATTGCATTATACATTTGAAATAAACACCAGAACAAGGTAAAGAAAGTGAAATTTAATAAATAGAACACAATAAACCTAAACAGTTGGTATAGCAGCTATTATAGCATCATCCCCAAAGCTTGACTGATACACATCATGAAACACGCTGGAAACATGGATGTTTTTTACTCACCACATTCCAAAAAATGATCTATAGGTCAGTTGGCCCTCAAAACAAGATGTACTTTTGCTATTCTCGGCACTTCACACGCACAGCTTGCATCCAGCTTTCATCCTTCATGATATGAAAAGGATATTTTTAAATAATCAGATTTAAGATAGAAAATTGAACAAAACACACAAATACAGTGGCTTACACAAGTATTCGGCCCCCTTGAACTTTTCCACATTTTGTCACATTACAGCCACAAACATGAATCAATTTTATTGGAATTCCACGTGAAAGACCAACACAAAGTGGTGTACACGTGAGAAGTGGAACGAAAATCATACATGATTCCAAACATTTGTTACAAATAAATAACTGCAAAGTGGGGTGTGCGTAATTATTCAGCCACCTTTGGTCTGAGTGCAGTCACTTGCCCATAGACATTGTCTGATGAGTGCTAATGACTAAATAGAGTGCACCTGTGTGTAATCTAATGTCAGTGCAAATACAGCTGCCCTGTGACGGCCTCAGAGGTTGTCTAACAGAATATTGGGAGCAACAACACCATGAAGTCCAAAGAACACACCAACAGGTCAGGGATAAAGTCATTGAGAAATTTAAAGCAGGCTTAGGCTACAAAAAGATTTCCTTGAACATCCAATGGAGCACTCTTCAAGCGATCATTCAGAAATGGAAGGAGTATGGCACAACTGTAAACCTACCAAGACAAGGCCGTCCACCTAAACTCATAGGCCGAATAAGGAGAGTGCTGATCAGAAATGCAGCCAAGAGGCCCATGGTGACTCTGGACGAGCTGCAGAGATCTACAGCTCAGGTGGGGGAATCTGTCCACAGGACGACTATTAGTCGTGTGCACTGCACAAAGTTGGTTTATGGAAGAGTGGCAAGAAGAAAGCCATTGTTAACAGAAAACCATAAGAAGTCCCGTTTGCAGTTTGCCACAAGCCATGTGGGGGACACAGCAAACGTGGAAGAAGGTGCTCTGGTCAGATGAGACCAAAATGGAACTTTTTGGCCAAAATGCAAAACGCTATGTGTGGCGGAAAACTAACACTGCACATCACTCTGAACACACCATCCCCACTGTCAAATATGGTGGTGGCAGCATCACGCTCTGGGGGTGCTTCTCTTCAGCAGGGACAGTGAAGCTGGTCAGAGTTGATGGGAAGATGGATGGAGCCAAATACAGGGCAATCTTGGAAGAAAACCTTTTGGAGTCTGCAAAAGACTTGAGACTGAGGCGGAGGTTCACCTTCCAGCAGGACTACGTTGCAGCAATCGGAAGTTTGTCTAATGCTAATCTAATACACCAGGGGCTTAAGAAACGTCTAAAACTGTGCACTTGCGCACCCGGCAACCATGTACACTTTTCAACACACATGCAAACTAACAGCAGTCTACATAGAAGATTCACTCCATTAAACACACATGACCCAACCTACCATGGCTGGGAAGTGCAAATCACATTTACAACATCAACAACAAAATAACATTTCCAAAGGCACTTTTACATTAAAAAAAACAAATCAAAACAAACACACTGTATTGGAAGGACGGTTGCTAGAAACAAGCTTAAAAGCAGTTTAAAAGAAAAAGGACGGTACAGAGACAGATTGCGTCTGGATGCAAGAGATGGTACTTGCAGAAAATAGTGTGCATTGGAAATGTGGACCCGTATGAAATACGGCCAAGTAGAAACCCTGAAGACCAACCGCTATTGACATGGCTTGATATATTTTTGTACCTTGTCTGTGGAGTCAGCACGTACAAGGTGAACCCGTTTCGCAATTATAAATCTCTGGAGGGACACGTCTGAACACGTCCACCAAAGATTGGATAGAAGAATTGTGAGTACGTCGTCATTCAAACAAAGGTAAGTCAGCTCGAGTACTGTGAGTAAAATGCGTTTGATTTTCCCCCGAACATTCAAATTAGTGCAAGCACAAATTGCACTAAATAACTTAAAACAACAAAATAACTTAAAGCAAAATTGGGGAACGTAAAGTCTGAAACAAGTCTTTATATTAAGGTCCATCGGTCAAACAATACTGTTTGGTCTGGGTCTGAACAGAGCGTGTTGTGTGCGACGTTTGCTTCCATGTTTGTGTCCTGTGTCACTAAATATACATTTTTTTTAGTTTTATACATTGATTAATGACCTGCAGAATTTCCTTATCATATTACGTGTCCATAATTGTCACCTAAAGTCAAACTTTATGCTTTCTCCATCTTGAAAGTGATTACATCCTTGCATTACATACTTTAGGCTGCATCCATATCGCTGCTCTTCTGTTTAATGTAGAAGCAACAGTGCGGATCTGTGGCACTAGGACTGTTACAGATGAACCTGCATACTGGGTTTTGCTGGGTAATGTGACCAAGATACAACCAGAGGTTGGCCAGAAGATGGACTTCTCCTCTTCAGCTGCCCAAAAAAAGGCTCTTGATCAAAACATAAACAGACCATCCGTATTGAAAGGTAAAAGGAGCCGTCCACAAAAAAGAAAAATCCCACCTGCTACTGTGGAGGAGTTGTCACTGCTATTGGATACTTTGCTGGAGCACAGTAAAGCTGTGGGTTGTGGGAATGACCCATAATGTTTTATCTAGGGGTCTAAATTTATGCCTGAAGTGCTCTGCCATGTAAATAATTTGCATTTACTGAATATATACTGACAGAGTACCACTGTTCAAAAGTTGAATAAAGAAACAAACTAATTTTTGCCTTTTTTTTTTTTTTTTTTTTATTAAAACCACTTTATAGAACATCACATCAGTTACAATGTAGAAACTAGAGATGGCACGATACCACTTTTTAATGTCCCATACCGATTCCGATATCATAAATTTGGATATCTGCCGACACCGATATGAATCCGATATAGCGTATTTTGTAATCAATAAAACTGTTTTTTATAAATATCTTGCTGCATTTTGTATAAGCTCATACTCAAGTTTTAAAAAACTAGAGACTGAAGCTTTTCTGTTATATCTGTATGCAAAAAAATACACTCCAGCCAAAACATTTTATAGTTCAGCAACACTGATCAATCTAATACATTTAAACCTACACCATCCTCCCTATTCTGGTATTTTAAAGAGTAATTACCTACCTAAGTAATAGGGTTGCCAACTCCAAGCAAAAATATTAGGGAACCACCCCCCTGCCCTTAATCAATGTAATCAACTTTAATTTAATGCAAATGTATAACAAATGCACAGAAATAAATAATTTAATAAATAAAATAATATAATAAAATACAATAATTAAATAGATTCAACATCTTTCTTCAAATGAATTACAGACTGCACAGATGGTACCTTCCCAAAGGAAAAAGTACTATAGCTTACTAGGCAAGGCAAGGCAAGTTTATTTGTATAGCACAATTCAACAACAAGGTGATTCAAAGTGCTTTACAGATACATTAGAAACAAAACAATGATTTAAAGGGTGTATATTTGACTTATTAGTTACTATATGCAATAATGGATTTCTATACATTTAATCAGATGACCACTTTTGTTGTAAGATTCAGATAATTATTTATTCAAAGTTTTTAAATGACATAACAAAGAAAAGTATTTCTTTGTGCCCCCCTTTCCCTGTTAATGCCCTACCTGCCCCCCACAAAACTTTCCTAGACCCGCCCCTGCACAGTTACCAGCTGTCAGCTACTTAGAAAAGGATCCTGGTGTTATTTGTCTCTCAGAACC